CATAAAGTTATTACTGAAATACACAGTATAACTTTATGTTTTTGTGTTTATACCAAAAATTAATTAATAAAATAAAATGCGAGTTTTTAATTTTTGATTATTTCCTTATTTACAACTAATAATGTACAATAAAAGCATGTTGACCATTGAAAGTTGTTACCAGCTGAACGTCAAGGACGAAACTAACTAATATTGGTCACCAACCGGACGAATTGTCAATTCTTGAATCTAAAAAGTAAACGAAATGACTATGTAAATATTTAATAACAGCTAAAAATGTAGTTAAAGTCAAAGAATACACTTAATAACAATTATGTAATAAATAAGACGTACTTGTACGTGAGGAGGGGTACCTAGGACGTACAAAACGCTATTTGCTATATCTTCAGCATTTAAACCTTCCGCCTTTAAGAAGGGCGAATCAGGCTCGATTACTAAACCTCCTGCTTCAGCAAACTCAGTTTTCACGTATCCTGGACTCAGACTCTAAAAAACGATTACAAGAATGTATAATTATGTTACTGAAGTTCTTGTCGAGTAAGACGAAACCATAACATAACGTTGAAACTTACTGTTATTTTAATTTTTAATTTGTTTTGGATAAACTCATGCCTCAATGTTTCACTTAAGGCTGTTACAGCAAACTTGCTGGCAGGATAAGCGTTAGCGCTAGGAAAGTTTAACACCTGATGACCCACAATACTGTTAATGTGAATGATATGACCGTCTACATTGTTAGCTCTCATGTCTTTAACAGCTTCCCTTGTTGCTATACTCAATCCTATCACGTTCGTGTCAAATATGTCCTTCCACATCTGTGTATCGCTATCAATCAATTCGCCGTATCTTCCAACTCCTGCATTATTTACAAGGACGTGTATTGACCCCAGATTTTTTTTAACCCAGTTGAACCCATCGATTATTTCGTTTTCTTTCGTCATGTCCACTTTGACTGCATGAAGCTTCCCCTTAGCTTTAGGTGCTTCTAATTTTTTCGCGAGTTCTTCGATTCTTTCGATTCTTCTATCAAATCCTGCAACCTGTCGATTTTTATAATTATTGAAGAGAATAATAGTTTTAATTGACAACAAACTGGGGCGATCTAAATGATTTGTACACAATCGCTCAGTTTAATTACTCTGGTTTCTAAGACAAATCCTTAAAAAACTCAAATATTTAGTAATAATGCTATATATGAAAGAAATTATAAGTGCTATCAGCACAGAGCAAAGAAGTATTACGTAGTTAGTATCAGCAATTTCTGATGCTGACGTGTACGATGTGTTGCGTACCTATTTACAAACAATTCCTTTAAATTTAATTTTTCAAACAATTTTTAACACTCGAATCAATGGTGTTATCAGTTTCGAGCTCACAGTGACTGATAGGGAGAAAGAACTTGCATATTTAAAAATAATGTATAAATAATAAATAAATTTGAAACACTTGTACCTACTAATACGATTTAATTTGACGGCATTGATTGTTTTAAAACTGAAATTAATTTGTACGTAACAAATAATTAATTTTATTTGTTTTACTTACAACTAAACCCTCGCTGACCAGTGCTGCGACTATTGCAGCTCCTATTCCGGCATTAGCCCCAGTGACAACAGCCACTTTTCCTACCCAACGTTCCATTCTACCGAAACACTGGTTTTGGACAACACCCAGCGCGGAATTTATAATCGGTTGCGTTAATTAAATGGTGGGGACTTAAGTGTTAATGACTTGAAACTTATACTACGAATATATGTACATAATGTAGCTGTATCTGAATGATTTCAGTATTTGCATAAAATTATATCTGTAATTTGGCTTTGTTGTTATTTTTTTTATGAAAGGTAGCAACTGTACACTGTCAATATAAACAATTAATGTTAATTGATAAGTAAGTAGATAGATAACAAAGGAAAGAGGGTTATGAACTGTCTGTTTTACAAGGTTATTAAGCAAAACAACTTGGCAGGTTTAAATTAATGCGTTTATTTTAAAAATTCATTATAAATTGGTACATAACAGTAACTTAGTCTACGTTATGATGGTTGGTGTAATGGAGCAATTGTCAATTCTTGGATCTGCAACGTACCAAGACAAAAAAAAATAAGATTATTATTTATTCAAGATCAAGCCTAAGATAAAATGGTTTTTGAATCAGGGTTTAATATCGGAATCATTTTATTGGTGACGTTTAAATACTCACTTGAACATGAGGAGGGGTACCTAAAACATATAAAACGCTGTTTGCTATATCTTCTCCAACTAAACCTTCCATGTTGCCGAAGGCCGGGTTGTTGGGATCAATTTTGATACCACTTGCTTCAAAAATTTCAGTTTTTACATACCCTGGGCTTATACTCTAAAAAAAGTCGTAGTAAAACACAAAAAAGAGTAACTAGGGTGTTTAATTATTTTTGCTATGTTAAATATAGGTACTAACGTTCAAGGGGTTGTGAATTTTTCAATTTTGGAACTTTTAATGTTGATTCCACAACAGCACTTTTTAAACTTACCGTTATTTTAATTTTTAATTTGTTTTGGATAAATTCATGTCTTAGGGTTTCAGTTAGAGCTGTAACAGCATACTTGCTGGCAGGATAAATATTGGCATTGGGAATAGATGGTACTTTATGTCCAGCAACACTATTAATATGAATGATATGACCATTTACATTGTTAGCCCTCATGTCTTTAACAGCTTCTCTTGTAGCTATACACAATCCTATCACATTCGTGTCAATTATTTCCTTCCACTTCTGTGTATCACCGTCGACTAATGAATTGAATCTTGCAACTCCTGCGTTATTTACAAGGACGTGTATTGGCCCCAGATTTTTCTTAACCCAATTGAACCCATCGATTATTTCGTCTTCTTTTGTCATGTCGACTTTGACCGCATGCAGTTTTCCCTTAGCATTACTCGCTTGTAATTTTTTCGCGAGTTCTTCAATCCTTTCTTTTCTTCTGGCGAACCCAGCAACCTGGGTTACATTTTTATATGTTATTAAAGATAATTGTGTGGAATTGTTTTAAGAAAATTGACCTAGTCACGCACTGCACAAGTGTAAGGGCTTCAAAAATATTAGCAATGGGATTATCAACTCATAATATTCTAGGCTTGAAAAAGGACGCAAAGGTGAAACATCGATGCTGTCCTTGCAACAATAACTTAAAAAGAATCCTGTTTCGACTTAGCTTTGTTTGGTTTTTGTCAAAATATGTTTTATAAGTGGTTTAATTGAAAAAGTTTCTTTTTTAATGCCTTCCCCCTTTTCCCAATAAATAAAAGAAAAACAAAAATATTGGTATGTAGGGGAAAGAGGGAATATAAAGATAGGAGACGAAAAATTAGAAGAAGTGGCTGATTTTAAGGATCCAGGAACTCAGATACGATAAGTCAGAGCGGAAGGAGTAGTAGATATAGAGCAGAAGATAGCGCAGCGTCGAGTCGCCTTCAATAATAAGTCACTTCTATGCTCGCGAATGATTAATTTAGAAATTGGAAAATTTTGTTAAAGGTGTATGTTTGGAGCACGGCGTTGTACGGGTGCGAAACATGGACAGTGGGAGCGGCGGAAAAAAAAAGGTTAGAAGCGTTCGAAATGTGGTGTTATAGGCGGATGATGACCATATCGTGGGCAGAAAAGGTTAGAAATGAAGAGGTATTGGAAAGAATAGGAGAACAGAGGACTTCAAGGAAGTCAATAAAAAATAAGCGAGATAGGTTGGTAGGACACCTTCTTAGGCATGAAGGTCTAGTCAGAGACATATTAGAGGTAGAAACAGGAGTTAAGAGGAGTAGGGGTAGACCTAGATTAGATTACTGTTCGCAAATAGTTAAGGATAAGGGTTGCTCTAGCTTTAGGGAAATTCGAAGATTAGGGCAGGATAGGAAAGAGTGGAGGTGCGTGTGCAACCAGTCTTAGGACCAAGGACCTTATGATGATGATGATTTTTAAATTTGAATCGCATGTAATACCACTAAATCCACTACATAATTGACGTGTAAAATAACTGAATAATTGATAATTGTTTTTAAAATAGAAATGACATGATTTGTAGATATTAAATAATACTAATCTTAACTAATATTAGAAATGCAAATATTAGTTTGTTTATTTGCTATTATTTCACGCCTTAACTACTCAATCGATCATCATGAAATTTTATACACACTTTTTCAAGGATACAGAAAAAAAATGCTGTTCCCAAGAGATAGAAAAACTTCTTTTCATCTTAATAAAAAAGAACAGCATTAACTGTTTAACTTAAATTAGAAACTAGTTTTATCCTGATAATTCCGGTCAGGATTTGAAAGCAGAAAAATTTATCAAATTATTGTATTTTTGTTTGACACGTATTTAGGACATGAACCTTACTTAAGCCGAGAGTAAAAAGTAGTTTAGTATTAGTTTAGCTTACAATTAGGCCTTGTTTGACTAGTGCTTCGACTGTTGCAGCCCCTATTCCAGCACTAGCTCCTGTTACGACAGCGACTTTTCCCACCCAACGATCCATCTTAGATAACGAATTCGGCGTTACTGGTTTTAAAGAGCAACCGATACAATATATATATATATATATATATATATAAACTATTACTTAAAATTAAATGGTGGGGACTTAAGTGTTGATATGAAGCATATCGCATTAAATCGATCCTATTTGGATTTCAGTGTCGCATGGAAATGATAAAAATGTATCCGGCATGACTAGCACTTTTTTTACATAATCTGTTATGATTCATACAATAGTTACATAAGTTTATTTATGTACCTCAATATTAAAGCGATATTTACAATTTATCCCACTATCCCGTTGCTTCGTAAGCGAAAATAATAAAAATTACAATTTGGACCCGAATTTGTAAAAATAAAATCCCAGCAGAAATAAATTTACTAGGTATTTTAGTTGATATTACAAATTTAATTGTAATAATTAACAAACTTGAAATAATTTTTAAACAACAATTTTTGTGTCGTCATAAAAATTTAGTTTTCTCCGTTTTCCAGCACTGACTCCAGTTACCGGCGGCGACTTTTCCTACCCGATGTCCCATTCTTGGTAAAAATTGCATAATTACTAGTACCTACTTCAAGCACTATTAATTAATTTCAAAAATTCCCTTACATGTTTATTTAAATGTAATATACATACACGTACTTAATTATAATTTAAATTCAAAGCCAGATGGGATAAATAAGTTAATAAGACTTGGCAAATTAAAAAAATATTTATTTTAAAAATCAGTTATACATTGACACATAACAATGTCTTCACCTAAACCATCATGGTTGTTCTACTGGAGCAATTGTCAATTGTTGGATCTACAAAATAACAAAACACAAAATCATTATTGATGTCTACGTAAAATAAACTCAAATAAATTGCATTCAAAGTCAACAAGAAATGGTTTTTGAATAAAGAAAATATTCAAATTTTTATTTATGAACACTGAAGGTGTTGTATTAACGACATTTAAATACTCACTTGGACATGAGGAGGGGTACCAAGAACATACAAAACGCTGTTTGCTAAATCTTCGGCTACTAAACCTTGCATTTTTGCTAAGGGTATGTTAGGGTCAACTTTAATGCCACTGGCTTCAAGAAACTCAGTTTTCACGTATCCTGGGCTTAGGTTCTAAAAGACGTGTATTATTTAAATTACAAAAAATAAAAACGAACGAACTACACGAGTACACGGGATGTTTAATTACTACAGAAATTTAAAATGTAAACTGAGTTGAAAACTAATTGTGTAACAGATCTTTGAAACTTACTGTTATTTTAATTTTTAAATTGTTCTGGATAAATTCGTGCCTTAGGGTTTCACTTAAGGCTCTAACAGCATACTTGCTGGCAGGATACACATTGACCGAAGGCAAAGATGGAATTCTATGTCCTGCAGTACTGTTAATGTGAATTATATGACCGTCTACATTGTTAGCCCTCATGTCTTTAACAGCTTCCCTTGTCGCTATACTCAATCCTACCACGTTAACGTCAAATATATCCCTCCATTTCTGTGTATCACCGTCAATTAATGTGTTGTCTTTCGCAAACCCTGCATTATTTATAAGGATGTGTATCGGTCCAAGATTTTTTTTAACCCAGTTGAACCCTTCGATTATTTCGTTTTCTTTTGACATGTCCACTTTGACCGCATGAAGTTTTCCTTTAGCATTAGCGTTTTGTAATTTTTTCGCGAGTTCTTCGATTCTTTCTTTTCTTCTAGCAAATCCTGCGACCTGTCGATTTTTTTTGTATTTAAAAATAAAAAAATAAACAAACAGATATACAGGGGCAAGAGATTAGTATGCTTAGATTTGCAGATGATATATAGCAGTATTAGCATCAAGCAAGGAGGAGTTAGAGATAGCTTTAAATAAAATGGAACTGGTACTGATAAAACGGTATTGTATGGAAATAAGTAAAAGTAAAACAAAAATACTGGTATGCAAGGGAAGAAAAAGTAGGGAAGGAGCGAATATAAAGATAGGAGACGAAAAAATAGAAGAAGTGGCTGATTTTCGGTATCTAGGAAGTAAGATAAGATAGGGAAGGAATAGTAAAGATATAGAGCAGAGGATAGCGCAGGGTCGCGTCACCTTTAATAAAAAGAAGTCACTTCTATGCTTATGAACGACTAATTTAGAAATTCGAAAAAGATTGTTAATGGTGTGTTTGGCCGCGGCGCTGTACGGGTGCGAAACATGGACGGTGGGCGCGGCGGAAAAGAAAAGGTTAGAAGCGTTCGAAATGTGGTGTTACAGGCGAATGATGAGCATACCGTTAATAGGAATGAAGAGGTATCAGTAAGAATAAAAGAACAGAGGACTCTATGGAAGTCAGTAAGATATAGGCGAGATATGTTGGTGGGACACCTTCCTAGGCATGATGGTCTAGTCAGAGACAAATTAGAGACAGAAACGAGAGTTAGGAAGGGTAGTAGTAGACCTAGATTACACCTGCGTGTTCAACCTGTCCTAGGACTTAAGGTGACGAACTAAACAAAAATATATTTAAGAAGAACTAAAATCGCTGGATGAATATATACCAATCAAACGTACTGAAAGTTTGAAGAATCCAACAGAGACGAAACAATTGTTACTTTTTAAATTTAAAGAGTGTGTGAAAGTCTTGAAGTTTTTTATCAAGTAAAGTAGAATCTATTCAAAAATTGAAACGTTTGAACGCTAAAAAAATCTTGATTCTTGTACAATTTAATCCGCTGTATCAAGCAACTGTTAATTGATTCTAAAATCAAAATTAATTTTATTTATTTTACTTACAATGAGACCCTTTTTGACTAGAGCTTCGGCTATTGCGGCCCCTATTCCTGCACTGGCCCCCGTTACTATAGCGACTTTTCCTACCCAACGTTCCATTCTCGCTAGCAATTTGTGTGTTACCGGTTGTAGTGAATAATTTCGGACACTAGAGAATAACCAACACGGTATATAAATATAAACGCTAACGTGAATTAAATAGTGGGGGCTTAAGTGTTTACAATATGAAACCTATTGCATGAATACATATAATTGTAGGTACATACCATCTCAGGGTCATTCAGAAATGATAATAACATATCTTTAATTGGACATGATTTGCATTTTTTGTCGCATTATCTTTTTATACAATCTGTTACGATTAATTTGTATATTTACCTTTTCATAGTTTGTATTTAAAGGGACATTTGATTCCCTTGATTTTTTTAAATAAAAATAAATAAATAAATTAGTATTATCTCAGTGACGTTGCTCCTCGTTTATTTAAAATAAAGTGCTTAAAATAAATGTTATACATTGACACTTAATGTTAGCTTAATCTAAAAGATCATGGTTCATCTATTCGAGCAATTGTCAATTCCTGGATCTACAACACAACGAGAAAAAGATTATTGATATTGAAATATGACCTAACACGGTTTTTTATAAGTAGTTTATGATTCGATGTTTTATTAATTACGCTTAAATACTCACTTGAACATGAGGAGGGGTACCTAGAACGTACAAAACCCCGTTTGCTATATCTTCAGCGTTTAAACCCGGCATATTGGCTATAGGCGAGTTAGCGTCAATTATAAAACCACTCGGTTCAAAAATCTCAGTTTTCACGTATCCTGGACATAAATTCTAAAAAAATTACGAATTTTAATTTGAAATACCAAGCTCCACTTATGAATATCTGTATTTTTAATAAATGTTTTTAAACTTACTGTTAAAAAATTAAAAGGAATACTCACCCCTAATTACCACAAATAATTTTATATGAGCGGAGAGAGTCAGTCTCGCGTTGATAATGCCCACGTGTGAAGTGGGCGAAACACGTGTCCGCTCATATAAAATTATTTGTGGTAATTAGGGGTGAGTATTCCTTTTAGTTTTTTAATTAATAATTACCACAGTCTCCTACTTCTATTTTGGAAACTTACTGTTATTTTAATTTTTAACTTGTTTTTGGATAAATTCATGTCTTAAAGTTTCACTTAGGGCTGTAACAGCGAATTTGCTGGCGGGATAAACGTTGACACCGGGGTAGTTTATCACCCTGTGTCCCGCAGTACTGTTAATGTGAATAATATGACCGTCTACATTGTTAGCTCTCATGTCTTTAACAGCTTCTCTTGTTGCTATACTCAATCCTATCACGTTAACGTCAAACACATCCCTCCATTTCTGTGTATCACCGTCAATTAATGTATTGTGCTTAATAATTCCTGCGTTATTTACGAGAACGTGTATTGGTCCAAGATTTTTTTTAACCCAGTTGAACCCATCGATTATTTCGTTTTCCTTAGTCATGTCCACTTTGACTGCATGAAGCTTCCCCTTAGCATTAGATCCTTCTAAGTTTTTCGCGAGTTCTTCGATTCTTTCTTTTCTTCTAGCAAATCCTGCAACCTTTCGATTTTTTTGCAATGTGTAGAATTGTTTTACTTTTATAACAACTTGACATTACCTAAATACAATCGCAGATTAATTTAAAAAAATGAAATTCAACTAAAGAAGACTGTTAATGAATGTTATGTTTATGGTAGGAAATTTAAAAAAAAAATGCCTATTGAACCTCTTCTATCGATAAGAAAAAGTACAATAATTTAATTTTACTTATCAAGCAACTACCTATCACCTAATCGATTCTTAATTAACTTTATTTATTTTACTTACAATTAGACCTTCTTTGATTAGAGCTTCGGCGATTGCGGCGTATTAGTTTAGCTTACAATTAGACCTTCTTTGATTAGAGCTTCGGCGATTGCAGCCCCTATTCCAGCACTGGCCCCAGTTACGACGGCTACTTTTCCCACCCAACGTTCCATTCTTCTTAACGAATTCATTAATTTGTACGTAACAAATAATTAATTTTATTTGTTTTACTTACAACTAAACCCTCGCTGACCAGTGCTGCGACTATTGCAGCTCCTATTCCGGCNTCGTCATTCTACAATTTATGATATTATAAATGACTTGCTTTTCGAACTGACAATGAGCATCTTTTAAATATAAACACACTTATCTTGAGCCCCACCATTCGATTTAGATTAACCGGTTATTTATAAGTTCACCTCTTTTAGCAGTTAAAATAAAAAGTTACAGAAAAAGCAGTTCATTAAGTGAAAATTGTAAGTAAATCGAATAAATCAAGTACATACCCTACCTGAATGAATCATTACCCCACCTAATTTAGAATTGTTTATATCATGGCATTGACTGAACTATATGACTAGCTAGGTACATATATACATTAGGCGAACAAAATTAATAAAATAGCTTTTAAACATTTCAAAATTGTAGGCATTGTTTTATTAATTACTGATAGTGGTTAATATTAATATGCAATATTAATTTGAAATCATTTTTCGATTTGTTACCACTACAAATTTCCTCAGTCAAGAGCATTGGTGCGTAAAGCCAAAAGTCCCGGGTTCGATTCCCGGCGGGGGTGTCACAACAACAACAAAAATATTTTCCTCATTAATTTGAGGAAATTTGTAGTGGTAACAAATCGAAAAATGATTTCAAATGAATATTGCATATTAATATTAACCACTATCAGTAATTAATAAAACAATGCCTACAATTTTGAAATGTTTAAAAGCTGTTTTATTAATTTTGTTCGCCTAATGTATATATGTACCTAGCTAGTCATATAGTTCAGTCAATGCCATGATATAAACAATTCTAAATTAGGTGGGGTAATGATTCATTCAGGTAGGGTATGTACTTGATTTATTCGATTTACTTACAATTTTCACTTAATGAACTGCTTTTTCTGTAACTTTTTATTTTAACTGCTAAAAGAGGTGAACTTATAAATAACCGGTTAATCTAAATCGAATGGTGGGGCTCAAGATAAGTGTGTTTATATTTAAAAGATGCTCATTGTCAGTTCGAAAAGCAAGTCATTTATAATATCATAAATTGTAGAATGACGAAGCAATAAAACAATCGCCGGTTGCTAAGCACTTACACGAACTTTGTTTGTTGTAATTAATCTATAAGTAGATGAGTCAAATTCTTGCTCGAGTAAAACATTAAATATAACCTTGTGTGCAATTTACCTACTCTAGAACTCCTTTGCTGGAATCCTCGAATTTTATTTCAAAATTTTGTGAAACATTTTCTTCAAAATCCTTTACATTTAATTATTGTTTCGTGTGGTCGTTATACAATAAAGGGTGAATGTATTTATGAACTACTTAGTCTTATTTTTGAAATGTTTTATTATTGTTTTAATTTTGAATGTCATGGTTGGAATGATCAAATCGTATCAGTTAAAATGAATTTCTTGGTTATCTACTTTACTCTTGAATTATAAAAGTTGTTTTTTTCTAATATGAGGTGTCATTGTTTTCATTTTTTTTTTCTGCTTAAAACCTTTTAAAATTATTGTACTGCGATATTTTATCAAGGTGTGCAATCATTAATCAATTAATTAATAGGAAAAGTTAAGGATAATGATTTTGCAGGTTAAAAATAATGTTTATTTTAAAATGATGTAATACATTGACACTTAACGGTATGTTAATCGAAATCACCACACTTCACATACTGGAGAAATTGACAATTCCTCTCATCATAACCTAATCTATTAGGCCCTTGGTGCTTAGCCCTTCACACGTGTCGATTAGGTGCTTACAAAAACAGTACAAACTAAATAGTTTTCTTAACTCATCAGTTATACATTCTAAACACATAAATAAGGTGTTTTTATTAGGAATGTAGGAAAGGTCTTATTTATTAGAGATATACATTTTTTCACAACTGTCTAAGTGATATCAAACAATAAAGATATCACAGCCAATTGATATCTACTAGTTGTTTTTTTTTTTTAATACTGTTATTGATGTTTTTGTGAAGAGGAATGATACTTGTTTGGGATCATTTTAATCAGAATGTAATTTCAATTTATTACAGTTACAATTTAATTTGATATATATATATATATCATGTAACTATCAATTATTTCATTTGATTTACTTACAATTAAACTTTCTTTGACTAGTGCTTCTGCGAATGCAGCCCCTATTCCAGAGCTGGCCCCTGTCACGACGGCGACTTTTCCTACCCAACGTTCCATTTTTTTGATAACGTGATCGAGAGTAACCAACACGATATATAAAAACAGTTCAAGTGTTCACAATTTGAATGTCCTTCCATTTGTAGATACTACATAGATATAGATATATAAATGATAAAATGTAGTAATGACAAAATTACTATATATAGGTAGGTAATGCAGTTTCATTTCCGTTATGATTCACAATTTTTTTTTTGGTACATAGAGGTAATGAAGGCAAAAAATTAAATGTTTATGCATTTTTGCCACCTGCTACTAAACATTACCTACTAAAAATCTACAGATAAAATCTTCTTTTGTTGGTCGTCCAGTGCTGGGAGTAGACCAAATAAATTTTTAAGCGCATTGCTGTGTTCTTTATGTATAATATTAAGCTGGGCCACACGAGACAGTTCTGGCATTAATTCGGAAGCCCGTACCGGTTCCACTACATCCAAATTTACTAGATAAAGCCAAGAATTTAGACAGATCGGCGAGCTGCAGTCAATTCAGCTAAGTAATATGCATTAACCCCATCTCTTGAATTACTAAAGTATATATACGGAATACGGAAGTCAACCACTTCCCCTATAACATGAGGTGCCTATGTTTGTTATAATTTTTTTCTGTTTGAAACCTCTAAAAAATTATTGTATTGCACTATATTATCCACCATGTGCAATTATTAATTAACTAATTAATTGAAAAGGTGAAAAATAATGATTTGGCTAGTTTAAAATAACGTTTATTTTAAAATTATCTAGTACATCGACCCTNAGAGGATAATGCAGGGTCGAATCGCTTTCTATAAAAAAAGAAGTTACTTCTATGCTCGCGAACGATTAATTTAGAAATTCCAAAAAGATTGTTAAAGGTGTATGTTTGGAGCACGATGCTGTACGAGTGCGAAACATGGACGGTTGGTAGGTAGGAAAAGAAAAGGTTAGAAGCGTTGGTAATGTAATGTTACAGGCGAATGATGATACCGTGAATAGAGAAGGTTAGAAATGAAGAGGTATTAGAAAGAATAAAAGAACAGAGGACTCTGTAGAAGTCAATAGAAAGAAATAGACGAGATAGGTAGGTAGACACTTCTCAGGTATGAAGGTGTAGTCAGAAACATATTAGACACACAAACAGGAGTTAGAGTTAGTAGAGCTAGATCTAGATTAGATTACTGTTGGCAAATAGTTAAGGATGAGGATAGATCTGGTTTTGGAGAAATGCGAAGGTTAGCTCAGGATAGGAAAGAGTGGAGGTTCAACCAGGACTGAAGGCCTTATGAAGATGAACATTCCAATAATTGTTTTATAAATCAAGATGTATTTTACAATAACTTTTATTTTTAGAGAAACTAATTCCATAATGTATTACAGATAATTAGTTGTTTATTTAAGTTTTTATATGCCATTATCGGCAGTGCAAGTCATTTTTGATAAGAGGATCACGATAACGAGTCTTGTTCTCTTTGGACATTTACAGATCTTACGTAACAAGAACTGCTGATATAAATAATTTAGTTTACATATAAGTAAGTTAAAACAAAACTTTATTTTAGTTACTCAATTGTTTGTTTCAATAGGAAAAGACAATACGAACGAAGTGTCCTAGTTTCATTTGTTTGGGTGCACGTATGTATAAGTATATCGGAAGGAAATTACGTAATAAAAATCATATGGACAAAATTTACAGATATCCGAGGTTAATATCATAACAGAACTTTGAAACTTACTGTTACTTTGATTTTCAATTGATTTTGGATAAATTCATGCCTGAGGGTTTCACTCAGAGCTGTAACGCCGTGTTTACTCGCAGCATAAACATTGACGAATGGTATAAATGGTACTTTATGTCCGGCTACGCTATTAATGTGAATAATATGACCATTCACATTGTTTGCCTTCATGTCTTTAATAGCTTCCCTTGTGGCCACACACAATCCCAACAGGTTCGTATCAAGTATGTCCTTCCATTTCTGCGAATCGCCGTCAATTAACGACGTGTCTCTTGCAACCCCTGCATTGTTCACAAGAACATGCACTGGTCCCAGATTCTTCTTAACGCATTTAAAAGCGTCGACTACTTTCTTCTCTTTCGTTATATCAACTTTGACTGCATGAAGCTTTCCCTTAGCGTCCTTCAACTTTTTCGCGAGTTGTTCTACTTTTTCTTTTCTTCTAGCAAACCCAGCCACCTGTCAATTTTTATACGAATGTTAAATTGTTTCTCCCATCATAACTTAATCTATTAGGCCCTTAGTGCTTAGCCCTTCTCTCATTTCGATTAGGTGCTTAAAACCCATTTCACAAGAGGACTAATACATTTTAATAGTATAAAGTGAATGACTTCCTTAATTAATCGGTCATTCTACATTCTAAATTCATAAATAACGTGTTTTTATAAGTGGGGGGGGGGCGGATATGAAAGGGAGCAGTTAAAAATATACATAAATTACTAGAAAACTTTTTTTACAATCGTCTAAGCGATATCAAATAATAAAGATAACACACCTAATTGTAATCCACTGATTTTTTTATTATTATCATCGACGTTTTCATGGTAATCGAAACATGCCTGTTTAGAATTATTGTAGTTAACGTAAGTTGGAAATTGCTACTGACTATAATATGATACTTCCGAAAAAATTTAGGCACAATTACAATTTAATTCGAAGTGTCAATAAAATCAATGCTAAATTGTAAATGGTAAATCGTTTAGGTACCTTAATTGATCTACTTACAATTAGACCCTCTTTGACTAGTGCTTCTGCGATTGCAGCCCCTATTCCAGAGCTGGCCCCGGTCACGACGGCGACTTTTCCTACCCAACGTTCCATTTTTGATAACGAGTTCGATGTTACTGGTTAAGAGAGTAACCAACACGACATATTAAAACAGTTAACGATAATTAAATGGTGGGAAGGGGGGAGTTTCAAGTGTTCGAACAATTCGAAAGTCCTTGCATTGATATAGATATTAGATATAGATATATAAATGATAAAATGTGGAAATATGACAAAATTACTATATATAGGTAACGCAGCATGACTTGCCGTATGATTCACAAGTGTTTTTTTTTTACATAGGCGTAAATATAATTCCTCGGTGTTCAACTGTGGAACCGTTGGGAGGTTGACAGTAGACCAAATGAATTTTCTGGGTCTTCATCCGAGCACGTTACTGAACAGGGCCGCACGAGGCAGTTCTGTGCACCACCTCGGAAGCTCGCAACTACATTTCAATTTGCTAACATAAAGCAGGGAATTTTGACACAATTTGAGAACCACATGCGATTAAGTTAATCCGTTTCATTCCATTGCGGGCCACTATGTATGGACGTGGTGGGTTTGAGTGCCTTTTTATTACCGTTTTTTGGAGCGCGAAATCGATTGATGTAACGTTTTAAAGGCGAACGGTTTTGTAAAATTTCATCAGACTTTTTGACTCACATTTGGATGAATTCGGGGTGTAAGCAAAAAAAAATAAATATTTCACGTTTAGAGGATACACCACCGACAACTACACCCGTGATCATCGATAATCGGACGGGTTACACCAGTATATATAATTTTTTTTGGTTGATGGCTTATTAATGTTTGCACACGACACATCGCGAACGTGATCGATCCGTTATTAGTATTGGTTTGATTGAATTTTTATCAAGATAGGGGCTGTTATCTTTACACTATTCATTCAGCGTAATGCAATTTTAGTAGGTACCTGTTGAGACTGTTAAGAACGTTGAAGTTGTTGATTCTTGAACAGAAAATTATCTTATTGTTATATATATTTAATATTTCCATCTAGTGGGTATTTGTTTTTATAACTGACTTGCGTACGTCATAACCCTAGACAAAAATTTTCAGTCTCTCCAGTCTCTCAGAGTCTCTGAGAGCATCTCACCGTCTCTCAGTTATTGCCTAGGTGTTTTTATGGATTTCTCACAGTCTCTGTATGGCAAACTCGAACGATAAAATTGTTAATTCAAAGATTCGAGTCTCTCACAGAGAGACTGAATGAATAAAACAAAAAAATTGAGAGACTCGAGTCTCTCGTAGAAAGACTGGGATCTCTGAAATATATTGAACTTAGAAAATTTTAACCATGTCTATCGAGACAACACTTATTGAGAGATTCGAGTCTCTCATTCAGAGACTGGATACGAAATGAGGATCCCTCTACGAGCGAATCGAGTCTCTCGTTCAGAGACGCGAAACAGTTTTTTTGACAGTCTCTCTCAGCGACACCATAGAGACTCGATGAGAGACGGAGACTCGAGTCTCGCTTTCAGAGACTCTGAGAGACTGAACATTTTTATCTCGGGAAGAGTACGTAAACCGTATTAATCGGAGCACACAGTATGATTCAGCAATCCATATAGGCTTATCGAAAGGGAAGTGATTTGTAATAAACTTTAATCTTATCAGTTTGTATGTACATAAACAAAACACTACACATTCTCCGATTAATATTGTTGTTTGTTGTTCTTATTTAGGTACATACATCTTAAGTTTTTTATAAATGGGCGATTCTTCCTTACAATGAGGTAGTCCTATAAGAAAAATAGACAAAGTTAAGAAAGTACAGTCCGGAAGTCAATAACAATAAAGAGAGATTTAAAGGGTTGGACAGAGACATATTAAAAACAGAAATAGGGGTTAATAAGGGACGCATGTGAAGACCAAAATTATACCACTGCTTGCATAAAGTTAGGGATGTAAAGACTGGCTGAAAACAGTCGACTTATTAATGAAAACTAGTTTCATCTTATTTCAAGTAAATCCCTACCGTATGGTACAGTACAAATGAGTCATTAACATTACACTCAAATTATCATGGAGGGGTAGGCTGAACTTTTGATATAGTGGTTCTAGGGCTTCTAAGAATCATACTCGTCTACATCAGTGGGTTCGTCATCATCATCATCATAAGGTCATCAGTCCTAAGACTGGTTGGACACGTACCTCCACTCTTTCCTATCCTGAGCTAAACTTCACATTTCCCTAAAACTAGAACAGCCCACATCCTTAACTATTTGCGAACAGTAATCTAATCTAGGTCTACCTCTACCCCTCCTAACTCCTGTTTCTGCCTCTAATATGTCTCTGACTAGACCTTCATGCCTGAGAAGGTGTCCTACCAACCTATCTCGCCTATTTTTTATTGACTTCCATAGAGTCCTCTGTTCTCCTATTCTTTCCAATACCTCTTCATTTCTAACCTTTTCTACCCACGATATCCTCATCATCCGCCTATAACACCACATTTCGAACGCTTCTAACCTTTTCTTTTCCGCCGCTCCCACTGTCCATGTTTCGCACCCGTACAACGCCGTGCTCCAAACATACACCTTTAACAACCTTTTTCGAATTTCTAAATTAACCGTTCGCGAGCATAGAAGTGACTTCTTTTTATTAAAGGCGACACGACCCTGCGCTATCCTCTGCTTTATATCCCTACTACTCCTTCCATCCTCACTTATCTGACTTCCTAGGTATCTAAAATCAGCCACTTCTTCTAATTTTTCGTCTCCTATCTTTATATTCGCTCTTTCCCTACTTTTTCTTCCCTTGCATATCAGTATTTTAGTTTTACTTTTATTTATTTTCATACAGTACTGATCTGTCAGTACCGCTTCCATTTTATTTAAAGCTATCTCTAGGTTCGTGAGTGAGTTCGTAGCTGTGCAAAAAAAATTGCAAATTTCGAACTCAACATTATCATTATTTCATAATCTGTTTTCCCCCTGACTAATAGAAATTGATATCAATCTATTCTAAAATTTTTCACAATTGCGGTTGTTATCCTGTCCTGTCCTTTTGAAGGCCAGAAACAAGCGAACTAAAATTAACTACGATTTAGCCCTTTGTTTTACGACAATTTGATCGTACCTGCGATAGTACAATACAGTTATTGAAGTGGTTTAAAATGTTACTGTTATCTGCTAAATATCACCAAGTCGTGGTGGAATACCTGTTGAAATGATAAGATACGGTGTGTTGTGTGTCATACTGGATTTCTTCGAAATAATTTTGCAAATATTATTATTATTAATGCCGCGTTTGTTTTTCACTTTAACAAAACCGTCGTAATATGGAGGTAAAATTGATTGAAAGATTAATTGAAGGAGACGATTTAGATTTAAAAAATGCCTTTATTCGGTTTTTAATTTGCATTACAGTAAATAGAATAAATCAAAACAACAAATTGGTGTATTAAATTAATTAAACGGTTATTAGTATGGCTCGTCAATCCCCGCAATTGTCAATTCTTGGACCTAAAAATGAAACCAACAATTATAAAATACCTACAACCATTGAAAAACAGAAAATTAAACCACTCTAATAATAATTAGCTACGTTAGTATTTTAAAGGATTTGGTAAGACTGTTTAAAAACGTACTTGCACGTGAGGAGGGGTACCTAGAACGTACAAAACACCGTTTGCTATATCTTCCGGATTTGAACCCTTGATCTTGCTGAAAGACGTGTTAGGGTCAACTTTCATGCCGGCTGCTTTTTGAAACTCAGTGTCCACGTGTCCTGGACTTAGACTCTAAAAGCAATTGTTTAAACAAAAGACATGCAGTGAATTTCCCGATTGGAAACATTAACTTCGTAAAGCACTGTTTATATAGATACTTGCGAGATTAGGTTAGGTTGGGTTATAAAAACGCAAGGAACTATACATACTTACAACATTCACAGAATGCTTAATTATTGTATAATTATGGGGCATGGTGTAACAGAAATTAGTGAAAAGCTTGCAGGAGGTGATAGAGCTCTTTAAAACACGAAATCTAACCAAAAATGTTTGTAAATTGTAACCATCGTTGTCGAAGAAAACGTTTTATTTCGACCCTGGTTGAGAAATACGGCCCGCAACGCTGCATTCAATAAGCACCAGTGCTAACAATACGAAATCTAACCAAAAATGTTTGTAAATTGTAACCATCGTTGTCGAAGAAAACGTTTTATTCCGACCCTGGTTGAGAAATACGGCCCGCAACGTTGCACTCAATAACCACCAGTGCTATTGTTTACTACAGCTTCCAATGCTCTTTCTGTTACATCCTCTACACTTACGAGGCCAGGTTACAAAAACTGTGACGCTAATAATACAACAGAACTTACTGTTATTTTAATTTTTAATTTGTTATGAATAAATTCGTGTCTTAGAGTTTCAGCCAGGGCTGTAACAGCATGTTTGCTGGCAGGATAAGCGTTGACGCCGGGGTAGTTTATCACCCTATGACCGACGATACTGTTAATGTGAATGATATGACCGTCTACATTGTTAGCTCTCATGTCTTTAACAGCTTCCCTTGTCGCTATACTCAATCCTAACACGTTCGTGTCCAATATATCTTTCCATTTCTGCGTTTCACCATCAATTAACGAGGTCGTTCTTGCAACCCCCGCATTGTTTATGAGAACATGCACCGGCCCCAGGTTCTTCTTAACCCACTCGAATCCGTCTATGATCTCGTTCTCTTTTGTTATGTCAACCTTGACCGCATGAAGCTTGCCCTTGGCCCCTTCTAATTTTTTCGCAAGCTCTTCGACCCGTTCTTTCCTTCTAGCAAATCCAGCAACCTGTTGATTTGTTTAATTAAACACAAATATTACGTCTGAATCACTCTTCTACCTACCCGTACAATTTAATTTGAATTATCAGGTAAATATTCGTTGTTTTCAAAACAGAAATGTATTTGTAGGTAGTAAATAAAATTTACTTACAATTAGACCTTGTTTAACCAGTGCTTCGGCTATTGCAGCCCCTAATCCAGAACTAGCGCCAGTTACGATGGCTACTTTTCCTACCCAACGTTCCATTTTCTATAGTGGGTTCGGTATCACTGGTTTTGGAGAGAAACCAACCCGATATATAAAACAATTAACGTTACCAACAAATGGTGGGGAGTTAAGTGTTTGCAGTTTGAAGGTCCTTGGATGAATCAACACAGATATGATCAAATATTATATAAGCAGATTGTAGAAATGATTAAATTATATGTGTTGCCTTTCGATACGTTTACTATTTTTTTTTGTGCAAGTGTAAATATAATGAAATTGCTTTGGAATGTTCAAAACAATTTTAATTGTACGCTTTTTGAGCACGGCAGTAGATGGGATACTGGCTAATAGCAGTAGTAAACATACCTAAAAAGAGAGGCGCGGATAGGTGCGAGACATTTAGAACAATTAGCTTAACTTACCATGCGTCAAAAACCTTAACTAGAATTGTACAGAAATGAATGAAAAAATGAGCGGAAGAACTATTAGGGGAAGATCAATTTGGGTTTAGAAGAAGTAGAGGAACGCGAGAGGCCATTCTAGCTTTACGGATAACAATAGTGAAAACGATGGAAAAAGGAAAGAGTGCGTACATAGGATTTGTAGATTTAGAAAAAGCTTTTGATAATGTTAAATGGGACAAGATGTTAAATATACATAAAAATGTAGGGATGAGTTACAAAGATAGAAGAGTGATACTTAGTTTGTATAAAAAGCAACAGGCAGTTATAGAGCTAGGGATGCAACGTAGAGAAGTAAATATTAGGAAGGGAGTCAGACAGGGATGTACACTGTCACCGCTACTTTTTAATCTATACATCGAAGACGCGATCAACATCGTTAAAGACAGCACAACTGTAGGGATAGATGTACAAGGGAAAAAGATTAGTATGCCTTAGATTTGCAGATGATATAGCAGTATTAGCGTCTATCAAGGAGGAGTATCTAGGAAGTCCGATAAGTCAGGATGGAAGGAGTAGTAGGAATATAAAGCAGAGGATAATGCAGGGTCGAATCGCTTTCTATAAAAAAAGAAGTTACTTCTATGCTCGCGAACGATTAATTTAGAAATTCCAAAAAGATTGTTAAAGGTGTATGTTTGGAGCACGGTGCTGTACGAGTGCGAAACATGGACGGTTGGTAGGTAGGAAAAGAAAAGGTTAGAAGCGTTGGTAATGTAATGTTACAGGCGAATGATGATACCGTGAATAGAGAAGGTTAGAAATGAAGAGGTATTAGAAAGAATAAAAGAACAGAGGACTCTGTAGAAGTCAATAGAAAGAAATAGACGAGATAGGTAGGTAGACACTTCTCAGGTATGAAGGTGTAGTCAGAAACATATTAGACACACAAACAGGAGTTAGAGTTAGTAGAGCTAGATCTAGATTAGATTACTGTTGGCAAATAGTTAAGGATGAGGATAGATCTGGTTTTGGAGAAATGCGAAGGTTAGCTCAGGATAGGAAAGAGTGGAGGTTCAACCAGGACTGAAGGCCTTATGAAGATGAATATTCCAATAACTGTTTTATAAATCAAGATGTATTTTACAATAACTTTTATTTTTAGAGAAACTAATTCCATAATGTATTACAGATAATTAGTTGTTTATTTAAGTTTTTATATGCCATTATCGGCATTGCAAGTCATTTTTGATAAGAGGTTCACGATAACGAGTCTTGTTCTCTTTGGACATTTACAGATCTTACGTAACAAGAACTGCTGATATAAATAATTTAGTTTACATATAACACTGTTTTTGTAAGAAAAAATGATGAAGCTCAGTTTCTGATCCTGAGTGAAACTAACTAATTAAGTATTTTGGTTTTAAATTAGTGGTTTATCCTGTTTAAAATATTATATTTTATAAATTTACAATGATACGCATTACATAAATTATTTTTAAAGTCACTCACCCACAAAGCTAGAAGTTAAAATGGTAAATTGCCTATAATGAAACCTGTAGTATTACCATAAAACTATAATAAATCTGTAGTGCTTGACCTGAGATTAGTTTTCACAAAAATTGTAAACTTGCCTTCTCAAAATTAATTCTTGGTAAAAAAAATATTAAATATTCCCATAAATCATTTAGTTGTTTTATCAAGGTTGCTCTACCGGCATGTCATTCGCTTTAGACACGTTGGTGACCCCTGAAGGCCACTCTTTCCTATCCTGAGCTAATCTTCGCATTTTCCTAAAACTAGATCATCCCATATCCTTAACTATTTGCGAACAGTAATCTAATCTAGGTCTACTTCTACTTCTCCTAGCTCCCGTTTCCGCTTCTAATATGTCTCTGACTACACCTTCATGCCTAAGAAAGTGTCCTACTAAACTATCTCGCCTATTTCTTATTGACTTCCATAGAGTCCCCTGTTCTGCTATTCTTTCTAATACCTCTTCATTTCTAACTTTCTCTATCCACGGCATCCTCATCATTCACCTGGAATATCACATTTCGAACCCTTTTCTTTTCTGCTGCGTCCACTGTCCATTTTTGAATTTCTAAATTAACCGTTCGCGAGCATAGAAGTGACTTGTTTTTATTAAAGGCGACTCGACCCTGCGTTATCCTCTGCTTTATATCCCTACTACCCCTTTCGTCCTGACTTATCTGACTTCCTAGATGCCTAAAATCAATCACTTCTTCTAATTTTTCGTCTCCTATCTTTACATTCGCTCTTTCACTACTTTTTCTTCCCTTGCATACCAGTATTTTTGTTTTACTTTTATTTATTTTGAATCAGATATTGTCAAAAGCTTTTTCTAAATCTACAAATCCTATGTACGCGATCTCTCTTTTTTATATCGTTTTCTCTATTGTTACCCGTAAAGCTAGAATGGCCTCTTGCGTTGGTTTTATAATAATAAAATTATTTACTACTCTATTTTGTGTGTGATATTTTATATGTACATTGCGATTAGGCGAAAAAGGTATGGAGTCCATAAACATCCTTAAATTTTTATGATCAGCAGTTTAACACTTCTGGAGTTACGTTTAGTTGCTGGATGTTATACAATGTAACTTTAGAATAAAAAAGTTATTACATTCTTGCAAAATTACATTCGTCAACAGAGAATGCACAAATTACCTGCACATATTATGAGGCAGTATAACGAAAAGGAAAAATATTTATTGACATTTGGATATACAATAGCAAGAATCACATCAAGTGTACTGTACATACATATATTAATTTAGTTTTCTTTTATTGTAGACTATATAATTTAATAATAAGAAGGACCGAAACTTTTGGCTTTGTTCCCACAAATAATATATTTTAAGGTCAAATGCCCCCCTAGATATATGTCTATTATTAGATGAACGTTTCTCCCATAGGCTTAATAGTTAATTCTTTGACCTGAAATATTAAAAAAATTAAATTTTATTGGCGATCATATAACAAACGAAAAACTGCTGGAGGTCATCATTTTGAAAAATTCTAATGGAAAAGTTCACTCTGAAGAAACGAATCGACTTACTTGGACATGGGGTGGTGTTCCAACAGCGTAAACAACCCCGTTCGCAATATCTTCGGGGTTCAATGTAGGGGCCGTTTTTAGATTAGGAGGCAACTCGAAGGTTGCGGCCTTAAATATTTCGGTAGCAACCAAACCTGGACTTACACTCTAAAATAATTCACTTTTTAGTATTAATGAGAACAAGTAACTCGCAAAATGACTATAAACATTAATTGTTAATTAACAAGAATGTAAGAATTCTGACCCGGCGCCTCCACCGAAAATAATCATTAAGTTTAATATCAAGTTGCGGTAATTGAACGATATTATACCTATATATAAATACTCAAAAAAACAAGAAAAGATTTGTAGTTACTGAAGAAATTACAGTAAATTGACGAAACGTTTAACGAAATTTCGATTTAGAAAATACTACAAATGGCGCAGTAAGCGCCATCTGTAGCACGATGCTACATTTTAGGATTACGTATGCTTCAACAAGGTCCACTTGTGTGGATATCTACTTGTTGAAAACGAATCCCGGCGTAGCCAACCTCAACGTGATAGGCACGTTAGCCCGGGATTCGTTTCAGCAGGTACATATCCACACAAGTGGACCTTGTTGGAGCATACGTAATCCTAAAATGTAGCATCGTGCTACAGATGGCGTTTACTGCGCCATTTGTAGTATTTTCTAAAACGCACTGTTAAGACAGTAGGTAAAGGTTGGTCTGTGTTCTGTCGGAGCTGCCTGCGACGCGCTGATGAGATCCAAAAAATTCGAAATCGCGATCCGCGTCTGGCAGTTTCGACAGAATACAGACCACTTCGAATTATTTTATTCGAAATTTCAATTGTTTTTCTTCTTTTACTGTTTTGGTCCATATCGCTAGATACGATGTATACCTTAATTCATTTTTAGAATTCAACTAACCGAAACTTTGATGTTTAGGCAGTTTTCGATCAATTCGTATCGCCAGCTGTCGGTTAGAGCGGTTACGGCATGTTTAGTGGCCGGATACAGGTTCATGTTCTTCCATATGGGCACACCGTGGCCCACAACGCTGTTTATATGGACAATGTGACCGTCGACTTTGTTGCAAATCATATTTTTGATAGCTTCCCTTGTGCATAGGCACAACCCGAGAATGTTTACATCCAGAACTTGCTTCCACTTGTCAGTTTCACCGTCAATCAACGAAGTGTACGGCAAGATGCCCGCATTATTCACCAGTATGTGAATTGGACCGAGTTTTTTCGAAATTTCTTGGAACCCTTTTATAATCTCATTTTCTTTGGTGACGTCAATCTTGAAACCGCACAATTTGCCTCTGCCTTGTAGTTTTTTCGCATTTTCATCGATCCTTTCTTTGTCGGGAGCGACACCAGCCACCTGGACACGCACAAAAGGGGTAAATTAACCCTTAATAATAAGCAGCCGATTTTCAGTATCTAGGAAGTCTGATAACTCAGAATGGGATGACTTAAGAGGAGTGGAGGTGGACCTAGATTAGATTACTGTTCATGAATAGTTAAGGATGTGGGATGTTGGGATGTTCTAGTTTAATGCAATGGCTAATTTTTCTGTCAGGGGTCGTCAAAGTTTACTATTAACAATTAGAGTAAAAATTTGACACATCCGTGCTTTTATGTTTAATCAAAAATTAAAACTTACAAAAACATCCCTAAATGTGGATTAATACTCAATTATAAGTAAATTGAAACTGAAACAGATATGTAACGTACGACTATTCCACTTTCTGCCAATCTTCGAGCTATGGCAGCACCGATACCAGCGCTAGCGCCTGTTACAATGGCCAATTTTCCACACCACCGTTCCATTTCTAACACCCGATCAACGAAAAATTTTTAATAGACAGTAAAATTGCCAAATGTTCTTTATGATCTTGTAATCGATTGCCAATTTTGTAAAATGTCACTAATTAATGGTATCCATGGCGAAAACGGGAAACAAATTTTCAGTTGACAATAAAGATACAATATATTATGCAATTAATAAAAAATGATCCCACGAAATTCTCAAACAGCTACAGATTGCACCTTTTAGCACATTACTAACGTAGATGACTTACGAATCATTTCTAATTATTATTTGTTAGAGGTACCTGTTATACGTGTTTATCAAAATATAAAAAGTTACAAAAAGTGAAAACAAAAACGCAATAAGTGAATACTTATTCTACAAATAATTCTGGATTAGTAGTTTAATTAATCATTGTGTGTACAATATTATGAGTATTAATTACATTTTTAATTGGATTCCCGATTTTTACTGCAAAATAGAGTTACCATTACAAACAGTATTTAATACCAAAAGCTATTGTTTTTGTGAAAATTATTACAACTGTTTCTCCATTATTTACCTGGTATATCAAAAGTATTCTAATAACAGAATTTCAATGAATTATGAAATTAAATACAACACAAAGTTTCAAGAAAAGTGTATTGGATATTGATTTATCACCTGATGATGTCACAAATAGCAAGTAATAAAACAATTAAAGAAATAGTCAACTTTTTAAAACGACTCTTTATTTATTGTATTTGTTCTGATATGATAGGATAAGTTAAGGTTAAGAAGGTGTGAACCTTAAAGTATTAAAAGTACTAAAATATCCAAGAAAATATCTCGCTGCTCTATGCCGACACAGCGTTTTTTCCGTGATGTCACAAGAGCATCGTCTAGCCAGAGCGTTTACTTTTCGGTACGTGCTGTAAGAAATACGTTAGGCGTGATACAAACTTCTCTATATTCTTGGGTTCAAGTTGTTTTTTTGAATCAAACAACCTTTAACGAATTGTACAGTAAATTTAGTAGTTTCTCTCTAAATTACCAATTCACTTATTTAAATTGAATAATAAATCAGATTATTGATTATTGTATAATTATTTATTTCAAAGTCGACGTTTCATAACATACGTAACATAACAATGTTATTGTTTATTCAGATCATTTTAAATCATTAAAATGCAGATAATCAGTCTATTTCACCAACAGGTTTAATGGTCAGCTCATGAACCTAAAAGATAAAACCAGATTAATTATAAAATGAATATTATATATAACAGGGCAAAAGTAGTATTACGTAGTTAGTATCAGCAATTTCTCATGCTGCAGTGTACGATGTGTTGCATATCTATTTACAAACAACACAAAGAAAGTGATTAAAGAAATTGTTCACAAAAGTGAATTTCGATCACTCGAAGCAATGATACTAACAGTTTCGATCTCACAGTGACTGATATGGGGGAAGAACTAATTATAATAATAATAATTATTATTATTAATATTTTGTATATAGTTTAATTTTGACTTTCTGTGCGTCTTGTGCTAGCAACAAGTTCAGATAATTGTATGGTTTACTTGAACATGAGGAGGGGTGCCGAGGACGTACAAAACGCCGTCTGCTATATCCTTGGGATAAAGACTAGGCCGGTTGCCGATAGCTTTGATAGCTTTTGGATGAAAACCTGCGGACTCATACAGATTGGTTGACACAAGTCCTGGACTAATACTCTAAAAGAAAAAAGGTTCTGATGGGATCGTAAGTGTTACGTTGTCAACCAGACTTACGGTCACCTTGATTCCAAGACCTTTAAGGACAATTTCGCGTCTCAAAGTTTCTGTCAGTGCAGTTACGGCATATTTAGAAGCGCAATAGACGTTGGTCCTTGAATAGGGCAGAACAGTATGCCCGGAAATGCTGTTTATGTGTATGACATGACCTTTGATCTCATTGCTCGTCATGTGCTTGACAGCTTCTCTCGTGGCCAAACACAAGCCGAAAACGTTCGTGTCCAAAACATCCTTCCACATTTGGGCATCGCCATCGATGAGATCATTATCCCTGGCGATTCCGGCACAATTAACTAGGATATGTACAGGACCTAAGTGTTCCTTGATCCATTCGAAACCGTCAACTACTTCAGATTCGTTTGTTATGTCGACAGCAAGAGACCAGAACTTTCCCTTCGAATTTGTCAATTTTTTATCGAGTTGATCTAAAGTTGCCTTACAAATGTCGAGTCCAGCGACCTACGTACATATAAAGTTAGGTTTTTGCAATGCAAGATTAATATTGTAGTGTTCGTGGGTTTAAAAAAAATTAACTTCTAAGAATGAATTTACATTAATTTATTAAAGAACTTAAAAACACTATTAAATTATTAGTAAACTTAGGTTATGAATTACTCTAATCGATAAGCCGTTCACGCACACGTGTGCCCGATCGCACACAAACACACTCGTGCTCGCTGCAGTATCATAAGTTATGAGGTAAAATAAATATAAAGAAGACTGTAGCGTATTGATAAAAAAAAGAAAGGTCTTACCCCAACTAACCACAACAGACAGTTTAAAAACCAGTCTTGCGTTCAAAATGCTCGCAGCCTGTAAGTGTTCGCGTTGTTTTTTGAACTGTTGTGGTTAGTGAGGGTAAGACCTTTCTTTTTTTTATTGTAAGGGTTCTTGACTTGTCTAGTCGAACTCGCTGTTGTATGAGATCGTCCCTCTATCCATCAAGAACAAGACGATAGCTACCTTTTTCAGGCTATCATCGGACGTATTTGGATAGTCTCGCGATATTCGCCTTGTACTTTAACAGACTTTCTACTGTCTTTCGATGGAGCACCAGGCTCCCCCTTCACGTCAACAGTTCCTTCAATCTCAGTTATACTTTCTTGCTTTCCTAGAAGTCGGCTGTCAATCCGTTCTGGTATAATTGTCCTCAGGAACTTGTAGTTCTTCCACCCGTGTATCAATTTCCTTAATTTGACATTCAACGTTATTTTCTGCTTCGGCTAATTTGTCCGGCAATTGTCCTTACAATTTTCTTTTAATTTCTCTTCAAATTTATCTAATGTTCCATCTAAACACTTTAAATTTTTAATTAGCACCTTCGAATGTTTCTTTAATATTGTGGAATTTTCATTTAATTCGTTTTTAAATTTTATTCCAGTTCTCTAATGTTTTCGAATTTTCGCTTAGTTTTTCTTCCAAACCCTTTTCGTAGAACTTTAGTGTTAGTATTTTGTTTTAATTTTTCCTTAAATTATTCTCATATTTAAAATTTTCGATTAATTTGTCTTCCAAATCTTTTAAATTCCCATGTAGTTTTTTTTTTAAATTTTGATTCAATTCTGCTTTCACTTTATTTAATTTCTGTTTCCTTTCCTTCAAATACAGCTCCCGTCAAAATCGATGTTAAAAAAAATGTATTCGAATACTCTGGAAAAGTCTTTACCTTGATTGAAAATTTGGGAACTGTTATTGTTCGGCAGCGTCACAGGTCTGTAGCACAAAGGTTACAAGCTACTCTTCCAATTAACCATCATCGGCAAACAAAAGAAAAACTAAATATAAACAAATAAAACTAACAAATTACTTACTAATAAATTCTTAACACATTTTTTAAATGAACGAAGTGATAAATTTGATAGACGTTTAGAGGAGGTTGTAATATCATTGTACATTGCACAAAC